AAGTAAGTATCTTAGTAACTCAGGTTGAATGGATTGAATTGAGCGCGAGTAAGGAGAGACTAGATACATGAGATTGAGCTTTCTTTTATAACTTCTGTTTTGGTCCTCCATCTCCTTCCTTCCGTCGGTCCCTGTTGGACCTTCTTCTCGTGGTCCATACTGGACCTCCCTTCCACGGTCCTTGTTGGACTCCTCTGCTTATCTTATCAATGGACCTTCCTAAGTCACGTGACCTTGTATGCCTAATCCTGTCAATCTTGCGGGGTAGTGTTTCATCCTGTGTTGCTGTGTTGGACAGCGCTTCGTTCTGTTGGTTCGTAACAAGGGCCTTGGCTGCTTCATAGGCTTGCAGTACTAGGCTTTGACCTGAGCCTATCCCCCAGTGCTGGAGTCTATCAATGGCTGTGCGGGAGTCTAGTAGGACTATGACTGGGCCTCTGCCTTAGATCCTGATGGCCAGCTCTAGGGCCTGGCAGACCCCCATAAGTTCTGCGTCAAATACCTCCTTCGCTTGTCCTAGGGGGATCTCTTGGACTTGCCAGGCTCCCTAGGGGTTCTGCCATGCAATTCCTGCCCCTGTACGCCCGTTCTCTAGCTGTGAGCCATCTAACTATAGGGTGAGCCCTGGGCGGGCTCTCTAGGCCGCCTGGATTGCTTCTTCTATTGGCAAGACCTTGATCTGGCCTGGGAATGGTCTGGCAGGTATCCACATTGTATCCTCGAAGCCCTCAGATGGGTTGACTGGTAGGGTCTCTGCCAGTCGCCGTGCTAGGTGCTGCCCTAGTGACCATGGGCCTTATTTCCTAATTTCTGCCTATGCCCAATCCCCTAGTGGCTACTTGCTAGGCTGAGCATGCTGATCCCCCTCCTGGAGGGTAATGGGGAGGATTTGTTTTGCTGGGTGGTCTCTAGGTAGGCCTAGCAGCCTAGTAGTGTACCTAAGTTGCCAGGCCTCTAGCAGGGTCTCTGCTGGCTCTAGGCCTGCCTTGCGCACTAAGGGCCCAATGGGGGTAGTTTGGAACATACCTGTGATAGCCCAGGCCTGCTGGTTGACCAGCTGTTGCATACCTGCCAACTAGTCTTTTTAACCCTGCCACTAAAGCTCTGCCCCATATAGGGCCACTGCCTGTACTGCTGCCACTTGAATCCTCTGAACCAAGCCTGGGGGTAGTCCCTGTTGCCAGCATAGGGATTGTACTTGCGCTTCTGCTATACAGGCCTTCTGTAGGCGTATTTAGTAGTGGACCTTGAAGGTAAGTCCTGCATCTAACTATATACCTAACCACCAGGTGGCCTCCTAGCTAAATGAGACCTGGTGCCTACTAACTAGAATCCTAGCCTGTTGGACCTGGTCCCTAAGCTCTTATCCCTGCTTGCAAGTAAAGAGTACTGCCTCAGTCTTCTCAGCATTGAACTGGACTGCATTGGCCTGTCCCTAG